CAAACGAGCCATGAACAAATCCTTCGTGAGTATTGGGAATAACCATCACAGCTTTACCAAAGGAAATCCTTTCTAAACGAGGGATCTGGAGTTTCAGCTCACCATTGCTTTGATTTGGAAGCAAAATGTGGATCAAAAGGTCACCACGGAAATGACCATCCTATCCGAACTATTTGAGGCTTCTTTATCTCGACACAAGAGTTGAAACGACTCCGATTGTTATAATAGAAAAGAAGAGGGCAAACTGTAAAAAAGTAAAGACTTGTTGTTTACAACTCTTCCGAACTCACTGTTTCATCGTTCCGAAGCAGAAATCCTAACGATATCGCCCCGGAATAAAGAAAGATGTCGGTAATCCCCGTCTATCTGTTGGTGTGTTTTACAGAGCGCTGACCTTTTAACGGAGGCAGCTTTGGTCTTTTCACTCCGCGACAATCTAAGTAAAGTTGATGTGATCCGCGGCTCTCCGCGGCCTCGACACTCGCTCGTTTGGCCGGCGTCAAAGCCCTCACGTCCGCACGCCCTGAACTCCCAGCCCCCCCCACAGCCTCTCACCCCACATCCATCTACACTTATCCCCAGACCGAACATTGATCTGCCTCAGGGGCGAAAGCAGTCGGCAGAACTCACGATTCAGGCGTCAGCTTCCAGAACGAGACCCCTAGTCGTTAAACCAGAAGACAAACACGAGGCTGTTTTTACTCTTAAGCGTTTCAGGCAGAGAAAAGCGGCACGCTCATTTATTAAACATGGCTCCGTCGCCGTTTAAGGAGCTGTTTGCCATCATCTGAAGGCAGCATCCACGTCCAGAGCTAGCGTTAAGGATCCTCTGACTTTTTAACTTGTTGTGAAACCAAATTAAAAGGAGGTCTAAAAGTGTCTATGATGTCTATGTTCCTCCCCCCTACAGATGGAGTCCAGTGGTACGGTCCTGAGCACAAACTGGAGAGATGTGGGCAAGAGAAAGGTGGAAGTGAAACCACCAGATGATGTGGAGTACAAGAAGTACTGAGCATCCCCAACTCTCTCTCTGTCTCTCTCTCTCTCTGTCTCTCTCTCTCTCTCTTTCTCTCTGTCCTTTCTCTTTCTCACCCTTTTTGACAGCGTCTCTCCACCTTTTTCCATCCGAGCTCCAGTGGGAGTCCTCAGCCCACTTCTGAGTCTTTGCTTTGGTGTTTTCACTAAGTGCAGGGAGCCGCCGTGTTCTCACTATCACCTGACCAAACCACGCACGGCCTAGTCTTCTTCTTATCACCAGATGGGGTCAGTTATCCAGAATAATCTGTTGAACAGATGGACTTACTTTTTGTTTTTTTATTATTGAATGCGAACTGGAAAGGGATGTAAAGACGACGGCCATGAAATCCTCGAGCACGGCCTTCCAATCAGCTTATTTAAAATACAGAACTCGGCCTTTTTTCTGACTGGAAGCCTTTTAGGATCATCCACAACTGTGTAAAAAAAAAAAAAGAAGAATATATGTAAAACTAAGAACGAGAAGCGGCAAACGCGTTTAAATGAAAGTTATTGATAGATTTCTTGTCTCCTGCTCATTTTTTCCCGCCCCCCCTACCCCCCCTACTAAGAAGTCAACAGCAATACTCGGCAACCTCGATTTGCCGGCCAGCGGCTTAGCACCTGCTTCTCCCTCAGCGTGACTCAAGCTTCAGTGTAAATAAAAGATGTTGTTGTTTGGCTCTTAAACGTTCTCCCGTCCTCTGCTTTGCCGTCTCTGGAAAGAGTCCCGGACTCGGGCCGTGTGGGAGGGGGGGGGGCCTTCTATCGGCCGGTATCGGGTGGAGCGAGCCTCGGCCGTGAGGGGGCGTCCCGCGGAGCCAGGAGAGCACATTAATATGGATCAGCCTCCCTAACCCGCATCATCAAGCCTCTCACACCGAGTTAAGCGTTAAATTCATCACACATCGTTTCATCTCTCCTGACGATCAAACGCCCATTTGCCGGCGCCGGATGGGTCTCTTAGCCGCGCGACACTTAGCTCGCTCGCACTCCTCCAGCATCCTCCGACACACACACACACACGCACAAACACACACCGCCCCCGTCCTCACCCCCTACCCCTGCCTGAGGCGGCTCTGCCACATCAAAAGGGAGCTAAGCACTCTCCATCGCGGGTAAGATCTGGGAGCGTGACGGCTACAGAGTCTTTAGTCTCATTAAAGAGTTCTAGAGCTGCAACTCCCACATTAAAGGAACTCTGGAAACTTCTCTCTCCGCTCAGCCCTTCGGAGCAGCCACCAGATGCGGCGCGCCTCAAAAAGAAAAAGTGCTTTTGATGGGCGAATGAGGAGAGAAAGAAAGAGGCGGGGGGGTTCCCGCATCATCCCGTCTGCCACAGGTAAGGCGTCTACACAACCGCATCCATTTGATCAGCTGCAGAATAAAGAAGGCCCATGCGTAGAAGTTTACTTACAAAAAAGAAGTTTATTCAGCCGTATTGCACTTTTGAGATGGCGTCTCTAATGTGGATGGAAAATAACATTTTCGGCAGGTTTCTGAGAAGAAGTGTACAGTACAGTTGTTTTAATGAGAGCTTCTGGTGAACTCGAGTTGAAAACATTTCCCAC